ACTGACAATGGAATGTTCTGAGTGTTTGAGCCACTGTTAAGTGTGTGTTTGTTTATTTTCTGTATTTTGGAGTGTGTGAACGGGAACTTTGGGAGCTGGGAAAGGTGGACAAAGAAGATTTTTTGTTCTCTGTTACTGATGCACTTTATTGTTTAGAATCATCCTAAAATCAACCAGGTAAAAGGATAATTGCATTTTTATTGATGCACTGCTGATGACCTTAAACACCTCATATATTATGACATATATTATGTGAGCATGTGTCTTTATGCTGAAGACACTTCATAGCTCTGTTCAGAAGTATACTTTCTTGAAAGATGCTTTATCTTATTTCTTATTATCTGTGTCAAGAGCTGCAATATTTGTTTTAACTATCTGCAAAATGGGGAAGCCACTCAGCAGACCAGACTGTTTACGTCAGAATCCCCCATGTGTAGGGAAGGGTGAAGAAGAGGAGGACCTAAATATCGAAGACTGTTATGTCCCACAGCGGTCAATCTATGATACTGTTAGACTAAATGAACAGATAGACTCTGGTTCAAAAGGTAGTCTATCTTCCAGGCATTTTACAGATCGAACTTTACCCTACAGTCACAGAACACTGGATGTTAGTTCTTTATGCTCTAATGGTGCCCTTACTTCTTCCAGTGTATTTGAGCTGAGAGGTCGGGAAGCTAACAAACTAGACGAAAAGATGATCTTTGATGCACTCAAACTAAATAGTGATATCATTCGAACCACAGGATTACCTAAAGCCAAATCTCATGCAGAAAAGAAAGAGCATAGACGGTCATGGCGAATGTTTGTCCCGACCAATTTTATGGATTATGCAAACAAAAGTGAAAGCTCTTTTGTTGAACCTACTGATATGTCAGATGCTGTTACCAAGGCCAGCAAGTGCAGATGGGGTACTAATTCTCTCACTTCGGAGGAGGATGACTCTGGTTTATGTAGCCCTCCAGCAGAGAGGGAAGAAAAACAGGGCATTTTAACTGGAGACCAGTCACGAATTAGAAGTTTGTCTTCTGCTGAAGATATTCATGTAACAGACCAATACAGACCTTTTTTTTCTGTTAATTCCATTAGCGAACAGAAAATCCCACTGCTTTCATGTCAAAGTGCCCACCCTGATGAAAATTTCAAAATGATTTTACATGATGTTTCTCCACTAGAGGAAGCAAAACGTGTAAATGGTCAAAGGGAAATCCACGATGAAAATTGTTGCCTGCGGAATAATTTGCAAGAGAGCCCTGTGAAGTGTGACCCATTAATTATGCCAAGAAATAGAGAAAATGAACATATTTTTAACCTTGGAGAAGAGGACAAAACATATGGACCAGGAGAATCCCAGATCACAGCACAAAGTAGGGAACTCTTGAAGGATTCCCCTCAAGATTTAGATCTCTCTCACACAGATCTAGGGGAGAGTGATGTAGATTGTGGTAGCACCAACGTAGTAGAAAATGTGACACTTTTGACACAATATGATTCAGGAGAATGTAATATTGCATCTAAAGAGGAAGTGGAGGCTCCTCTTTCTGCCCAGGAGAGCGAAATGCTATATAAGAAGTACTCCCTGAAATTCATACCAGCAAGAAAGAAAGCAGCACCCAGAAAAACAGGGGCCCAGGCAGGAATACTGGACACTGTCTGCAATGGCTTTCAGTTGGTTCAGGTAATTCATGGAAATATGAAACTCTGCAGTGTCCAAAGTTTGTGGTTCTGCTAAAAGTCTGTGGTTCTGTTTCAGAGTGGTCACTAGTGTTTCTAATAATAATCAAATCCACACTTGTTTTGGGGGTTTGACTAGCACCCTACAAGATGCCACATATTGATAAATTGATCATTATAACAAATTAATAGGGAATGTTTTGGAGAAGAATTGTTATTCCCAGCTGTTCAGGGTCCTGTTATTGATTGTGCAGAAGGTGACCATTCCCCTTCATTTAGAAGGCCTCCACTGTAAATATGTTAATGTTGGGCTTTTATACAAAGTGTGGTAAAGACACTGCCATTTAAGGACTATTATATTGGATTTATTAAGTTTGAACCAGCTTAGTCATGAAGGTACAAACAGTAACATATTGTTATGGTCTGCAAAGTACTCTATCCACATTAAGGAGCTTTTTTAATACGATGAAAAATTTCTCTCAGGAGCTCTGCATATGAGAGTAGTTAGTATGCTGTACTTTGCAGGCATTATAGCTCCCAACTTTTTGTGAGTGGTGAATGAGGTAAGAAAGTAAAGGGTGCAGGCTTGTAATAAGTAGAGGTTGTTTGTCAAGCCTGTAATTTTTTTCTTCCCACTCAGATTGAAGTTCAGCTATTTTGGTACTTTTACTAAACTCTTCTGGTAAACTTTGCCTCAGAGATTATTTTATTTTAAACTTCTCTTCATGCTTGTGTGCTATGGGTTAGATTCGGAGGAAAGTCTCTCTTCATAGGTATTTTGTTAACATTGAGAGATGAAGAACTTAGACAATATCAAAACAGTTCCTCTTCTCAGTCTGTGAAATAATTGTTCTTGTTAGTTATGCCCTTTTCTTAGGCATGCAGTAAATGGCATGCTAATTTAAAAGCTTAGCAAATTAACTTTTTTCTGTAAAGGATATTTCAGTTTATATGTGGAAAACAATTTAAATCTTAGGGGAGTATATACTCTTTAGTAGTTATCTTTTTAAATTGTTTGTATATTTTTGGTGGCACTTTAGAAAATTATCAGATTTACCTACATCTGCTCTGATATATGCCCCTGAAATTAATTTAAAACCAAGATCAGAGGTTAAGGCAATTTAATAGAACATTATTATTACCCTTTTGTCCTGAAAGCTGTATAAGAGGGAAAATAAAACGTTTCCTTGAATCTTTATTTACAAGTTCCTGGAATTTAAAAGGTAGCAGTTTTTGTACACCCCCACCCCCCATCCCCACTAAGTAGTAAAACATATCCAAAGCTATTAGTCCTAGAAGTTATAACTTAGAAAGTGGTATGGAAATGAAATTGAATTATAATGCCAAATTCTATCTTTAACACTTTGTTGCCAAGTTTCTGTTTACATATTTGATAAATTTTACCTTTTTGCAAAATTATGGAGACTTCCTAAGTTTTTCCTCAATGATTTGGGTGAATCTTATAATTTATTTGATTATGTGTAATTGATTTTTAAATATTTATTATTGTTATATGCAGACTGCCAGTATGGAAATTGTCTATATGTATATTCTGTGGAAAAGGCAGTTTGAGTTTTTAGCTATGAGGAGATTATAGAGAAAATGATCATTAATTTGTTTGCTGTTCTCTAATTTACTCATATATACAGTAACACAGGAGTATCCTGTATGCTAGGCCTTAGACCAGAGTCTAGAGGATTTGTCTCCTGCAGTCTCTACATCTTTCAAAGTTATTTTTCATACTGTGTCTGTAATTTTTTTTCTTAAGTGCTATTTTAATATGTGCCTTTATTCTGTTTCCATGTGTTATGATTAACTGTCCAATCATTGGTATACTTATATAGTGCCCTTCAGGATAATGACTCAGAATCTCAAACTGTGTTTTACCTTAATATCTATGTGAAACTTTCCTTCCTTAGTTCCAATAATTTATTTTCCTCATGGCATCCTCCAAGCCCTATATTAAAAACATATTATCTATGAAAGAGTTGGCTCATACCTGTAATCTCAGCACTTTGTAAGGCTGAGGTAAGGAGGTTGCTTGAGCCCAGGAGTTTGAAACCAGCCTGGACCACATAATGGGACCCTGTCTCTACCAAAAAAAAAAATTATTTTAATTAGCTGGGCATGGTGACATACACCTATGGTCCTAGCTACTGGGGAGGCTAAGGTAGGAGGATGGCTTGAGCCTGGGAGATAGAGGTTTTAGTGAGCTGTGATTGTGCCACTGCCTTCCAGCATGGGTGACAGAGTGAGGCCCTGTCTCAAAAAAATAATAATAATATTGATGTATCTACTCCCAGTATTATCTGTTAAGGGGTTGATGTCATCCACCTAAGATAAAAATATAAATTTCTATACTGATATTAATTTGGCAAATAAATATTGGGTACATATTACATGGTAGGTACCTTGGTAGGCCCAGGTCATAGAACTACTGTAAGGAAAACAGAAATTTCTGCTTTCATGGCACTTGTATTTTAATCTAGCACATTAAATCCTTTGCCAGTCACAGGCAACTGGGGAACCACAAGTTGGATGGGATAGACAATAAGAGAGAGATTGCTAGGAAACGACTGTCAGTGCAGGTATGGGTGACAGTGACCACAGAGTATCCAGAGTTGCTGTGCTAGTGAGGTGTGTGATCAGATCCATGGGGTGAGGTCATTGCATTTCTTAAGAGTCCATTGGCAACTTCATAGACATTGAGGAGGCTATTTGTGTAGGGATCCATACTATTGCAGCACATGCCTATGTATTTTTCATTTTCCTATCTCTATATTTTGGCCCTCCTGCCAAGCCATGTTTTGGCCACTTGGCTCACCTCATCCTGTCCCTGATTTTCCATTTCCAATATGTGTCTCAAGCTTCAGTTGCCAGCTAGCAGCAGCCATTCTTAGGAGAGCCCATTAGGATTGCCTTGCCCATGAAGGCTCATTTTTTACTTATTTTATGTTTTTGCTCTTTAGCATTTTCTGTAAATCTTTTTCTACAGTTAAACTGGGAAAATAGAAACATTCTCATCCTATGATAAGTAATAAAGAGAGGAGACATGTACTGTCTTCTTGGTTTTATAAGTAACTTGATTAAGTGTACTCAGAACATCATTCTTTAGTGTTCTCAAATGCTTTTGATGTGCTATTAATTTATATTTAGTTTCTTTCTGTTCTTCAGAAGGTAGCTATGACCTATGGCTAGACAATAAAAATTACCTTTACCTCTGTAATAATTGATAGTTTCCACAACCTGATGCCTAAAGAAACGCTTATTATATATTTGGTGGTTGATAAGTAATGTAACTCACATAATTATGACTCTTTTAACCGCAGGTATTCCAGAAAGAAGAGATTGAACCCTTGCAAGGTAAACAGCAAGATGTAAACTGGTTAGGTCAAGGCCTTATTCAGAGTGCTGCCAAAAGCACTAGCACTCAGGGCTTGGAGCATGACCTGGATGATGTCAATGCACGGTGGAAGACTCTCAATAAAAAGGTAATTTTCTTACCCCCTTCATTGCTATTTTTGCTGATTATTATTCATGAGCATTTGTTGTGACCATGAATCATATTTATGGTAACCAAACTTTTCTAAATATGTCTATTGTCTTATATTACTGTAAACTGGGTGGCTCAAACTCAGATGCCTACTGGAGCTAGGTAGGGAATCTAAATGAAAGGAAGCAAACTGGGTAAGACAGAGCTTCTCCCTGCTGTTATCTCGCCTTTAATCAAGACATGGTCACAGATAGAACAGTACAGGTATGATGGGCACATGCATCTGTAAGGGTACAGGTCACTACTTAGTTCCAGAAGATCATTGACATGTAGGGACGTAGGCCCACTCTTGCCAGATATTCTATTTACTTTCAAAATAACCTGGAAATCTCACTTTCTATGTGACACCTTCCTATTTTCAAATATCAGCAACTAATTACACACTGTGCAAACAAAGCTATATCTTTATGTCATTCCTGGACTAAGTCCTGCCACCCTTACTATAGACCATCAACCCCCAATTACTTGTAAGATGTAGATCCAACCTTTTTCTAAATTCCCATGAGAGAAAACACTAGAAATAATGCTCTGATATCTTAGGGAGATAACACTGACCATACGACGGCAGGCAGCTCTTATGCGACATAAATTATCAGAAAATTATTATGGGATGGCAGTACATATCTGGTGGTGGCAGTGGTGGTTATTCTTGTTGTTTTCTTTCCATTGAAATCTTAAGCAGGTGCCAGGTCTTGAAACTATATTATTCACTCTTTAAAGTCTGATACATATTGTAGTGCACCTTAAACACAGTTGGAATGCTGTGTCAGGTGTAAATATAATCCATAGCACTTACAATATCTTGCCAGCTACTTTATTCAGTCCAAAAGGAAAATATCTGTGAGACAAGCAATAAGATATCTCTATGTAGGACACAGAGACTCCATTTACTAGAAGACAAAGGGCCTGGTTGGTTGAAAAAAGACTCCAGAGCTTGGAGCTAGCAGAACTTAATTGGATACTTTTGTTATTCTTGCCTAGCAAAATACAATTCTGATTCTTTCTGCTATAATAGTTCCATTTATTCTTAGTCTTTTAAAAATCGTTATCTCTGATATTAATCAGAAGGAAATAAAATGCAATATTGATAAAAATGACTAATGTGTTGTTTCTTACGATAACTCTAAAATATTTGAATCATTCATTGCTAATCATAAACGTATTAGACAATTCAAAAATCTCCAAGAGTGAGTGCTTTCCGTTGACTGTTTGTGATGGTAACCTTATTTTCACGCCTGCTTGCTTAAAGTTTGTCTCCTTTTCACTCGTATTCTGCCCGCTATCGATACTTTGGGTAAATTTTAAGTGAAAAGGAAAAGAAAATTTGCGAACACGTGGGAAAATAAGCCTGTAAAGTAGTGATCTGTGCTCAGATTGCATTATTTTGTGAAACAAATAAATAAGTGGAAACAATTGGCACTTTGCAGGTGGCTCAGCGAGCAGCCCAGCTGCAGGAGGCCTTGCTGCACTGTGGGAGATTCCAGGATGCCCTGGAGTCCCTGCTTAGCTGGATGGTGGACACTGAGGAGCTTGTGGCCAATCAGAAGCCCCCATCGGCCGAGTTCAAAGTGGTAAAAGCCCAGATACAAGAACAAAAGGTAAGTTAGTCATGCTTTTGTGTTGTGTTTCATATTAAATCTTAAGAACAAGAGAAAAAATACTCCTTGTGACTCTTTTAATTAATGGGATAACCTAGTTAACCCGTTATTGCTGCTGTAGACATTATTTTGTTAGTCATTCAACAAATATTTATTGAACATCTACCATGGGCCAGGCCTTGTTCCAGATGCTGGGAATATATCCCTGAATAAAAAAGATGAAAATTTCTCATTGAGTTCGAAACCAAGTGGGAAGGGTGTGGCAGGATTGAGAGACAATAAGTAAAGTAAATAAATGAATGGTGATAAGTTAGCAAGTGATGAATAAAGCAGAGATGTGGGAGAGGCATCAGGAAGTAATAGAGCAAAGATGAGGGACCCAAAGCGCTTGAATGGAGGGAGGGCGTGTGTGTAATTTTAAATAGGGTCATCAAGGAAGGCCTCACTGACAAGATGGCATTTGTATGGAAATACCATTGTTCCCTTACATATTAGGTTGATCCCTATGAAATTGTCTTTTTATATATTAAATATTGACAGTTTCTTTTGGTTCAACCTGTTACTAAAGAAACAAATATTTGATTCATATATGCTGAGGAATGTGTCATTGTGTCTTTTGACACTACTAAAATGGGGCCAATTTGGGAAAATAGGGTCTTCAGAGGGATGATATATACCTGAGAGTGACCACATGATAGTTTTTGTGCCCCTGATGGCAGTGGTCAGGTATGAAGCATTTAATACTACTTTGAGTAGTAATCAGCCAGCCATGACTTGAAATGACATGTGGGAAGGATCCTAGAGCATGGAGTCCTGGTAAGGTTGCTCCCCTCTGGAACTTTAAAAAGAAGTGGGTGGATTATGTTAATTACTTTATTTTAAAACTTAAAGACATTTTTAAAAATTTTACATTTTTTAGAAATTTATAAAAAAGATACATTTTAAATTTCTCTTTCTGTGCCTGGCTTATTTCATTTGGCATGGCTAATAATAATGTACTGTATATTTCAAAGTTGCTAAAAGAATAGATTTTAAAGGTCCTCACCACAAAAAATGATGAGTAGGTGAGGTGATGGATATGTCAATCAGATTGATTTAATCATTCCACAGTGTATACATATATCAAAGCATTGAATTGCACCCTATAAATTCAATTATTATTCATCAATTAAAAATGGAAAAAACAAAAATTCCACATTTACCCTCAATTTCTTTTTTGTATTTAAGACTTACTGCTTACTTTAATTTCTACATTTAATACTGTCTCCCTAAAAGTTTTTGAAAACTTCAGCATATTGGGAAACTATGCCAATTAGAAATAGGTTTAGAGGTAAGGATTAAGGAAACATAACTGGAAACACATTGCATTTGTGTAATTTTTGCATAATACAATGTCTACCATTCACAATTTAAAGTTAACTCCCAGAGTCATGATGCTTAGCCGACAAAACCTATTAATTGATTTTGCTTTTTTAATTGCTAGAAGCTTTGTTATTAAAATGTATCAAAGTAATTAGTTCTCCTTGCTGCCAGAGCACCTGTTGTGCTTTGATTATATCATGACTTTAGTATATAAAAACCTGTGCCAACACAGTTTGTATGTCTTACCGTCTTACCCTTCTCTTTAAACAAGTTCCTCTTACCTTCTGCCTTGGTGGTCTTGATCTCAAAATACTCTTTTCGCTTTTTACTTCTGGGTAACTGTCAAATCTTTAATCCTTAATTATCAGTCAGGATCATTAAGGAAGCAGCGAAGCATACTGTTTTGTACACTTAGGCCTTCCTCATTGCTGGCAGCACAGTGCCTGTGCACAGCAGTTGCTCATGAGCTATTTGTTTGATTAGATTAGAGCAAGGTAAAAGGCTTCTTATAGCAAACATTTCATTTCAGGTACTTTGAAATGTTTACTTAGAATCCAATTGAATTTTGTTTCTGGTGCTAAATCCTGAAATATTAGTCTTATTTAGCCAGCTTTGGAGATTTCTGACATCTTCTGGCCTCTCTTCCTGTTGGCAATGATGTGTAAAAGCTGTTTCAGTTTGCAGCCTCACACAGATTTTAGGAGCCAGTCCCACCTGGTAAAAGGAGCCAAGAGTCTCTCGTTTCGTTTTAGCCTTGTTAACTTGTGAACTTGGGCTGAGTCTTAACTTCCTTGTCTATAATGGATTGTTTAACGTGGGAAAGGGTTTTGAAAACAGTAATGATTTATAGGAACCTTTTGTATCTTGACAGGGCAGATAGTTGTTGAATGTTTAAGGCATTCTTATTTCATTACAAAAATGGAGATTTTGCACTTTTTTCATGATTCGTTGGAGTTATCCTAAATGGCACCTTCTACCGTATTATTCTATATTGAAAAATTAATAATGAGTTTAGTGGCCTTACCAATATTAGTTTTGTCTACTATGAGAAGCCCCTGCCACAGTGTCTGACCCAATAGTAATAAATCATTAGACAAATGAGTTACCTTTAAAATCCCACTTTTCACATCCTTTCATATGTGCATACATACAAAATACATTTTCGTCATATTTCAGAGGTACTTAGAATACATTTTACTTTATATTCATATAATTATTCCCTTGCTTTTTTATATTTAATGTTTTGTCTCAAGCTTCTTCAAAGGTTGTTGGATGACCGCAAATCTACGGTGGAGGTAATCAAACGAGAAGGAGAAAAAATTGCTACAACAGCAGAGCCTGCAGATAAAGTGAAAATTTTGAAACAGCTCAGTCTCTTGGATAGTAGATGGGAGGCACTGCTTAATAAAGCTGAAGCAAGGTAACTTATATATTTCCAGTTCTTTTGAAAGAGTAGCAGTGGCCTCTGTCTATAAAACTGACATTTTGTATTTCGGTAATACTTTTCTTCAAATCATGATTTTCCTATGTTTATCATGTATGTGAACAGAGATAGCAAAGATTGTAGTGCCTCTTTCCTCATTCCTCTAATGGTAATGGCTTGTCACCGCTATGTCCCAACTTTTTAAGAAAAGCATTTCCCTTGGGGGTGATTAATTCATTTGTTTATTACATAGTTACTTCCTGCTTACCATGCATCAGGCACAGAATAGTTATTTCCACTGATTTTAGATGATTGGATATTTGAATTTAGTAAAAAAAGTCACAGATAGTGATAATCCAGAGGTAATTATGAATATAGTAATTTTATTCATTTTTTAGGATCAAATGTATCAACTGAAAGTTTTTAAAAATATGTGTGTATTTTGATGTTATAGAAATTATATTTAGTAACTCGTGCCAATTTTCTATAATTCCCTTCTTCCTCATAGAAAGCTAATTTTTAAAAACATGTAATTCCCTGAAAATTAAACATGATAAGAAGTTGAGGCAACAGTATCTCTTGATCCCAGCAGAAATTATGTATACAGGATTTGATACTGAATCAGGTACTCCATATACAGACCAGAACAATAGCTTGCCCTAGATAAATACTGAGGGCCGTGGAAACAGGTTTTAGCTTTAGTCCTCTGCAACCAAGGAAACGTGTTTCCAAAGGTATTTTAAAATACCAGTAAAAGTCCAGTGAATAGTTCTCCTCTGTTCATGATATTTTAATCCGTAAAATATTAATATTGGTTTTGGGAAGTAAACCTAACACTGCGCTTTTATAAAATAGGAATCACTATTAATTCCACTAAGCGTTGGAGGAAGAAGCTATGTATGCTCTTTAAAATTTGAAACCTGTTTTGACCATTTGATTAAAAGCAATCTCAGTAACTGTTGCTCCAATTGAAATTAATACATAAAGCACTTAAAATGGGGCCTAGCACAGAATATGTATTCAATAAATTTTACCTATTGTCATTACTATTGCTGCTGTTATTATTATAACATTGCTCTCATTATTATAACTGTAATTATTGGAAGTAGTTACAAAAGATTACTTCAGACTTTCATGAGATTCATGAACTTGAGGATGATCTGTTGTTCAACTTTAATTTTTTTTAACAGAAGAATTGTTTTAATATGTTCTTTAAATGTTAAGAGATTTAAATTTTAACCTAAGATAGTTTCTACAGAAAATGTTTAGAATAGATTGCAGGAGCATGACTGAAGATTTTTGTTGAATATTTCACACATTCTTCATCACTAAATGACCTTTTGGCACATTTGTAGGAATCGTCAGTTGGAAGGTATCTCGGTGGTAGCCCAGCAATTTCATGAAACCTTAGAACCACTGAACGAGTGGCTTACAACCATAGAAAAGAGGCTGGTGAATTGTGAACCCATAGGAACCCAAGCATCTAAACTTGAGGAACAAATTTCACAGCACAAAGTAAGATATAAATCACACATTAGAGAGGTTCAGTTTTTATTGTGTGGTTTTGTGACATAAATTTGAGTTATGTACTATTGTTTTGTTTAATTGCAAACTAAATCCATTTCACATGTCATGCTTTAGTTTTATTTATGTTTTCATTTTTATTTGTCCATTCTTTTTTTTTTCTTCTTTATTGTTTTAAACTTTGTTTAGGCCTTAGAAGATGACATCATCAATCACAATAAACATTTACACCAGGCTGTTAGCATTGGCCAGTCCTTAAAGGTTTTGAGCTCCAGGGAGGATAAAGATATGGTGCAGAGTAAATTAGACTTCTCTCAAGTGTGGTACATTGAGATTCAAGAGAAAAGTCACAGCAGGTCTGAGCTCCTCCAGCAGGCCTTATGTAATGCTAAGATTTTTGGGGAAGATGAAGTTGAACTGATGAACTGGCTGAATGAAGTGCATGACAAACTGAGCAAGCTCTCAGTCCAGGATTACAGCACTGAGGGGCTATGGAAGCAGCAGTCTGAACTTCGGGTATTTTAATTTATTTTATTTTATTTTATTTTATCTTATTTTTTCATTTCAATTGTCATTTCTTAGTCCTTATTTCTGTGTCATTTTATGTTTATGATGATTTTGATGAATCACTGTACTCAAAAAAGACTGTTTATACAGATTACTTTTAATGAAGTCATTTTAAAGAAAAGAGTGGCTCTATCCAATTAGCTGGATATTTCACTTTTCATTTTGCTATTTTATTGTTGTATACAAAGACGTATATTAACCAGTACTTCAGTACGTCCACAAAGCCCATTTTCATAGGGCCCTAGGTATTTTCTGAAAAGGCATATGCTGTGAATTATGGTAGATGAACATGGGACATGGGGCCCAGTGGTGAAAAGAAGAGGTCTAAACATGGGAACAATAAGAACATTTGAAAATGTGAGATATTGACTGAAATATGTCTCTGTGAAATCTAATTAAAGTTCTCTGAGATTAACTAATGTTAATGCTAACTTAAATGTTTTTCCCCCCACATAAAAATGGTACTTGTGTTTTTAGGTTCTGCAAGAGGACATCTTACTCAGGAAACAAAATGTAGATCAGGCTTTACTAAATGGTTTAGAACTACTTAAACAAACCACAGGTGAGATATCTTTCAAATCAAATCATCATGTGGTCAGCATTTATATTGTTTTCAAAATATTTTAGGGATGGGAGAAAACCAAAACACTTTATAGTTTTTGGTCCAGTCCAAGACTTTCATTCTGGAGAACACTTTGAAGACCAATCAAGGGGGTGGTTAGGATATGATCTCACTTTTTTCTCATGATCTCACTTGAGTTCTTGATGGAAGTTGTGTGTATTACTCATAACATAAAGCACTTTGGCACGGGAGCTCATCAGAGAAGCCCAGGACAGAGTCACATTACTTTTCCACTTGTGAAAGGCAGATGAACACGTAGGTTGTAGACAATTTCTTTTTAAGATAGATTGCATTGCAGTGACACACAGTATGGCTATGTGCATAGCTATACACAGGCTTCATTTCTTCATGTCTGAATCACTAAGAAAACTGATACATAGTTTAGTATCTAGATGAGATTTTTGGGACAACTCAGGGAAACTAGTTTTAGTGATTCCTTTGGCCATAGGAATTTCACTATACCTATATCCAGTTCAGCAATATGTGTATGTTGGGGGCAAGTACCATTTATTATGTATTGAAGAAATTAAATGTAGAATCAAGAGCCTTGAGCTAGACATCTGAAGCTCAGGACACAATTTTTCTATGTGTCAAAAAATGAGGTAGAGGCAAATAAAGATCTGTTGGAATAGTGCAGATGAGTAATGATGAGTAAGAGCAGAGAGGCTAAGTATCTTGCCCAAAGTAACCCAGCTTTTAAGCCATGCATGAAGTCAGTATTTGAACTCAAGCAGTTTTTAACTCCTCTTCTTTGAAAACAAAGTCTCATACAGATAGACACAGAAGTACTGCTTTCCACATAACTAAAGACACTTAGCCTTTTCCAGTTTCTACATTTGTATTTTCAAAGTGATTTAGATTTGCCCGAAGTCTTGGGAAAGATTAACATTTAGAAAAGGGCTTCTCTTGAGTAGGATTATCTTTAGAAAAATGTCTCCTTTTGTTCTCTAGAAAATTTCATCAGTGTTCCATAATATCTGAAGAAACCCTCCCCCTGCCTTTTTTTCTTTCATAAGAAATAACGTGACTTTGAAATTTTAGGTGATGAAGTTTTAATAATTCAAGATAAATTGGAAGCCATTAAAGCAAGGTACAAAGACATTACTAAATTGAGCACTGATGTAGCCAAGACTCTGGAACAGGCACTGCAGCTTGCAAGGCGGCTGCACTCCACACACGAAGAGCTGTGTACCTGGCTGGACAAAGTGGAGGTGGAACTACTTTCATATGAAACTCAGGTTCTGAAAGGAGAAGCAGCAAGTCAAGCACAAGTGAGACAAAAAGTAAGCTCTCTTTTCTGCATTTTGGATTAGTCTTTTATCTTTTAGGGAGTCTTATTCACACAAAAATAAAATTATATTTGTCTTATGTCATTACATATGCTGAAGGATGCCTTGGTGGGTGGAGACCCAATAGAAATTGGCAGCAGATCAACTGTTTAAACTTTTAGGAGCCCAGATGAAAAGTTGAAATGAAAACAGTATATTATAATTGTTTCAAGAGTCTTATATTTGGGAGTATAGTTGATTACCCAAGGGAAGAATGATGAAAACAGAAAAAAAAGGAAAATGATCATTGTTTCGGAGATACACATAATTTGGTTGGAATATCAATATTTCTATAAGATAACATGGGGTGGGTTTTTTAATTGTATTACAGAAGTAGTATACTACATGGTAATCATTCCTCTTTCCCAAGATATCAGCCTGTTTTTATCATCCTTGAAGTATGATCACATGTGGGTGAAAGAGAGTTGGTGAGGTCAGGCTCACTGAGCCTGTAATGAGTCTACTGTCAGATTTAAAGCCAGTTTGTCCTCATTTTGAGGGTCACTTAATTCTGGCTTGAAATATCCTGTTCATTTTACTTTTCTGTTACCTGATTACTTAGAGTTTCTCAGAAAGCAAAGAATAATACATGTTAACTTGCTTGTTTTTGCTTCTGAAATTTTAAATATTTATATTAAATTTCAAAGATAAAATCTTGCCATGTCGACAAATGAATTGTTCTTTCAACTTCTCAGGAAACATTTTTCTTTTCGCAAAATAGCTTCAAATAAAAAAGGTTTATTTAACTTAACTGAAACTAAGGGAGGGGGGAGTGGGGCAAACCATCACGTTATTCGCCTGCAAAGGACTTGAGCTCCAAGAACAGTTAAAGGAAAAGTCTGTTGAAGCTCTTAAGTGTTACTTACTTATTTGTATGTTTTCAGGAACTGAAAAAGGAAGCTAAGAACAACAAAGCCTTACTGGACTCCCTTAATGAAGTGAGCAGTGCTTTGCTGGAACTGGTACCATGGAGGGCAAGAGAAGGACTTGAGAAAATGGTAGCTGAGGACAATGAGCGCTACCGATTAGTGAGCGACACCATCACTCAGAAGGTGGAGGAGATCGATGCTGCCATTCTGCGATCACAGCAGGTAGGGAAAAATGGTTTGTTGTCTAGGCAATAAATTTTCTCCAGCTGTTCCCAGAGCCTTTACCTGAACAAAGATGCCTGTTAATACTGTTTCCATTCATTTGCTGTGCTTCCAAAATGAAAGGGTGGATTTGAAAAGAAGTTGACTGGGCTCCTTCGACGTCTGAGCACCAGGGCAAGGCTAATCTGTACATTGTTAACAGCCATCTGCCTCATTGTTTCACAGATTTATCCTTACCAAGTCAGACACTGCGAAGATCAGCCCAGCTTTCCAAACAAAATGCTTTTGTCTACACATATGCATATTGCTGCTATTAATTTTTATGTATTGACTAAGTCTAATCTGTATGTGAGTAAATACTGTGAATTGTTATGTAAGGATGTATTAACTTCATTTACAGAAAGCTGGGGCAAAGAGAAAGTTTTCTTTTTAAAAAGGAAGCAGTTTTTTTTGGTAATGTGAAGTTTTTTTCTGAAGATGACAGAAGGGGGAAAAGATGATAGGTTCCGATTTGTCTGTAACTCTTGCAGAATGTATACTCCCAGAGTTTTATAGGCATTCAGCCCTTAGCCACAGCTCCCTGGGAAGACTATGGGCAATGAGTGGGGTCCTGGAAATAGAAGTTTATAATACATGTGTTGATTAACGTTGGTTGAAATTTCTGAGAATATTTACATTAAGTCATCAGATTTACTACAAAGTTTATGTGTGGGGGTGGTATGATATTGCAGTGTACTTTAGAGCAGAGTTTGTGATGGTGTACGACTAAGCTTTCACTAATGTGAGCCAAAAGCAAGAAGCATAAATCAAGCAGATTCTGTGGGAGCATCCAAAATTAATTTTCTAATGTTGCCATAGAAATGGAATTTATAGTTAGTTCTAAAGCATAATGTTCCACTCCTCATTTTAGTGCTGTGCTGTAGGATCACAACAACTGATGAAATACAGTGATAGCAAAAGCCCTGCCTAAGAAATTTTTGTGAAGGAGGGCATTCATGCTCGAGGAATGTATTTGTGTGACTCTTTTTAAACAGAGGAGTTTGTATGCCTCATTAATATAGGAAAATGAGAGTGTTTATTTGTGAAGTTTATTCAACTATTGAAAAATATATTTTTTTCACTGAAATGTATTTGAACGTTTTAGAACTGGCATCTTCTCTAAATAGCAAGAAAATTATTCTGTACTCTTGGGAGTAAGATTTTCTTGAGAAGTTGACTATGGTTGGCTGGTTCAGTAAAGTGAGACAGTAATAAGGGCACGGTCACAGATTGAGTTTGCATTGGTTAGTAATCTCTGATATGTGTCAAGGTCATTAACTGTGGCCAGGTTCTTCAAGGTTTTGCATATGTTTTCCAAAGGTGTGGGGGAAAGTAAGTCAGCGTAAGTCTTCCGGAATCCAAAATATATATCCTTTAGGAAAATAATGATTTTTTTTTCTGATAAAATCAGTCCTTATTTAAAATTTCAAGATTTTCTCAAAGAATACAGAAAAATTCATGAAAGAAAGCATATGTAAGCAATTTGGTCTGTATCCTTCCAGTCTTCCTCTTGAGAGAGAAGAATTTATGTAGTAAAATCCTTTTGCAAGAGAAAGACAATGTATATAGTAAAAATCTTACTACCAATAGATTACACATCTTAATGCCATTAATATCTTCTGGTTGTTCATGTGTGTATTTTTATCTTCATTTCTTTGAAATACCTGCAAGTCTGTCCAATGAAAATACCTTCAATTAGGCTACATAGACACACAGATATTCAGAGCTGGGAGGAACATGCACAGCCTGCATGGGAGTGAAGTGACTTGCCTGTGGTCTCACGAGCAGTAAGTGGCAGAGTAGCAACTAAAATTTAATCCATATTTCATTCTCCCTCACTGCTGTGCCTCCTCATAAATTATATATAGAGAAAAACCCTCAAGGGTGGTAAACCATTTTTTTCTAAACTTCTTCAATAATCTGAAGGTTCCATTATTACAACAAAGTCGAGGTATGTAATGAGAATATTTCCAGCTATAAAGACTGTGGAGGATGAGAATGCAACACTAAAAGGATCATAAAACGTTACCGTGTAGGAAAACCCCTAAGAATAGAGTAGTAGGTGGAATAGAGTAGTAGGTATCTGTCTTCCTGGTGTGGCAGAGATTTCACACTTAAAAGATAAGTTTCTAAACTCATAATTTCAAGTTTATAAAGGAGCTAATATATCACCGAAATATTTTATAAGGTTGCCTACTTATAGATGTTTGGAATTAGGACCAGAGTACAGTTTAATAAAAAATGTTTGTTTTCTGTTTTACCCAATAACAATACATCCATGAAATATAAGAAGGAGTGATGAAAAAAACGTATCTTTAGACCTGAATATTAGCCATATATTTTGGACTATCTGTTTTACATTGTTTAAACAAATTACCATTCTGAGTCTCTTCTCCTTATGAAATGTGGACATGGTATGACCTGAGCTCATCTTTTTAGACACACATTTAGTCACATGCAATTTATTTTATTAACAGTGACTCTTCCCCCAGACCCCTGCCCCCAGCCTACCAACACCCACACGTGATGGGGTAAGAACATGTGCCTTGAATAATACTTCACAATTTTAAAATTTATAGATTTAATGATTTGTCCCATTTAAATCAGGGAGAGTTAAATTAGATTTTAAATGACTAGGTGTTCTGTTTTCTGAGCAGAAATAGCTCTTAAGATACTTCATATTTTTTCCCAGTTTTAAGGTTGCGTGTATACAGATATACCTCCTTTATGCCAATCTGCTTTTTGGAATTTAACAAAAGCATAAACAGTTTGTCAACTGTGAAGCCACAATCACAGAATGTATTGACTTCAAACATCAGTGTGGAAGATGTCAAGAAAAACATGGAAAAGACTTAAAAGTTTGAAGGGAGAACAGAAGGGAACATACAGATATCTTCTAATTAGCATATACTTTGTAACCACCATGTATAAATTTAGGTTTTTAAAAAGTTTTGATTTGACAGGGTTAGATTTTCTTGTTAATCCTATATCACAATAACAGTTTTGAAAAGATATGCTATTGAACCTTCATAATATAGGTGTGAAGGTCCTATTTGTTATTATCTGAGAAATAATTGAAAAGCCTCAGTAATGGTTGAATGAGTAAGAACTTGTACATTTGTTGATACCACCCACCAAGCTCCCAAGTCTCACTCTAGATTTGCAGGCATTGATATTCTGAAAAGGGCATTATTTTTTAAAGTAATTGGGTCCATTCATTACTTTTAGGAAGAATCTGAATGGGACAAGGCAGCTTAGTAAATAATGATGTTGAGCTAAACTGCCTCCCTTTTACAATACATGCCATTATATGAGTTATAAACTACGTATTTCTGCATTTTAAACCTACACAGAGTAGCATACCTTTGTTGCTTTCTTTCTACAAGCTTTGTGGAAATGGGGAAAGGCACTTTTGCTTGAAAAATGTACAGACTTGGGTTCTGAATTCAGACTACCTTGATTCTTTAAGCCTCAGAGCAATTCATGATCCTTTGCTTCTTATAATGTACAGTTGTCAGTAGTTGCTAAAATATGTATATCTCACTGGGTTTGGGAATCCCAAGCATTCTTCAGCAGTTCTAATTGCTTGGCTTGTGTAAGTGGGCCCCATAATAACCCTGTTAGAAAGGCCCTTGGATTGGTGGTTTGGGTGCAGTTAATGCAAACAACTCAGTGGGTCATTAGGAATCAGCCTGGAGAAAAATACCACCTGTTTATTTCTTTTAAAGGACCAGAAGGAAACATCTCCTACGGAAATGAGATTTGTTTAGACCCTCCAGGTGTTGTGGATAGGAAAATATGGGCTGTGTTACAAATAATGAGAAGCAATGTGGGAGGAAATGCTAATCAAAAGAGAGTGATAAGATCCCCAGTCAGGGGAAGGGAGTAAAAAGGATGTCCTTGAGGTTAAGGTTTGCTTATCATTCTGCCTTAAACCTCTATTAAAACCTTAAACCTCTATTAAAACATATTATGTATTGACCTTTGTGATATTTGGCAGTCCAGAAGTCAGACCACCTTTGTTAGAATCTCAGACTCAGCATTTACTACCTGAGTAACCTTTGGTAAGTTAGTTAACTTCCCTTTACCTCATTTTTCTAAGCTGGAAATGGAGTTAGTTAATGGTAATACTCACATGATACAGCTGTCAGGATTAAAGGAGATATTGCATGTTAAGCACTTCGAACAATGTGCTCAGTAGGATGTTGGCTGTTACTGTTTTAGAGAGTGTTTTTCAGGCATATTTAGACATAGCTACTTAAAATGTCTTGCAGTAACTTTTAGAAAATTCCTGAAATGCTAATTCAACCATAAACAGAAGTTACAGTAGCTAGAGTTGGTGGTTCGACTCCTCTGATGCTATTAAAGTATTTCCCCAAATGCAGTTATGGATGCCCAGATTATCAACATTTTATGTTAAGTCAAATTTTGCTACTCATATGAGTAGTAAACAAATTTACTAAAATTTGGTCTAGTATGTTTCTCTCCATGTTGCTTACATGTACAATGAGCCATTTTTATGGTCTGTTAGAAATGCACGTTAATTAGTCATTTGAGTGAGTCATAGGCCTAAAATGCCTTGCGTTACTATAAATTACTTAATGTAGATCCTGTAGCTACTCCCTTTGTTGCTTAACAATATTTGATAATTTAATTTAAAAATTTTCTCAAATGACAGATGGGAAATATCTGCTTGAAGTCTTTTTTTTTTTTTCTTAGCAGAGCAAATGTTTGACTTGATCAAAGAAACATTGTTTGGATTTCCTCTTTTGGCACCTTAGATGGTATCACCGTGCTGTTTATTGTTGGAAAGTTTTTTGTATCTTTTTTTTAAATACGGGAGACATAGTGTTAAACTAATATTAATATTTCACAGCGTGACTTTCTTTGTGAGGGCACTCATTTAAATACTGTCCGGCTGAACACAAACGGGTGGGGTGTCACTTTATGGTTTTTTCAGGAACCAGTACAAGAAAAAAATTCATAACTGTTAAGTTTTATTCAGATATCTTGCAGTATTTGCACTCAGGTAGAAAGGCCTGGACTGTTTTTCTCTGTTTTATATTCTTTAAGTGAATCACATAATCAGTTTTTACCTATAACTTTATTGTATATGCCTTGAAAAGTAAGAATCCACATAGAAGACTCTTTCACTTGTTTTTCGTGGGGATTCTTTCTCCACATCTGAAGCTGCTGAATTAGTTGATGAAATGTTTTTCTTTTGTTTTCATATTGATCAATAATTGCTAATGAATAACTCCATTTAAAATTAAATAACATCACAGAAACTGTTGAACTAGATTAAGATACATTATTTTAAATAGTTTCTTGGTTTCCTTATAATCACAGAAAGTCTACCTATAAGCTTGACAATATTAAATTTTCAATATCAAAAAATAAATTATACCCCACGTTGATGAAGTTACAGCAAAACACTGCTTGTGGGAGTGTCCGTTAGCACATTCTACCTGAAGGGCAATTGGGCAGTATATATCGAAGAGAGAAAACACAAATAGGAACTTAGAGGTGAGAGGTTACTCACAGAGTTGTTTTTCTTTTTTAAAATTTTTTTAATTTAATATATTTTCTTTTAATTTTTAATTTTTATGAGTACATAGTAGATGTATATATTTATGAGGTACATAAGTTATTTTGATACAGGCATACAATGTCTTAGTAAAATTAAACTTGTTTTAAGTTAATTGTAAATACACCTGCAGCTGTAGGAAACAACACAGAGAGACCCCATTGTATCCTTTACTCAGTTTTCCCCAGTGGCAACATCTTTATAGTAAAATATCACAGGCAGGATATTGACATTGATACAGTCAAGATACAGAATATTTCCCTCACCACAAGAATCCTTCATGCTGCTCTGTGAGCCATACCCATTCCATCACATCCTATCCTCCCTGACTTCTGTCAACCACAAAGCTTTTCTCCATTTCTATAATGTTATCATTTCAAGAATGTTCAAGTATTTTATCAGTCACAACCTCTTTCTCCTCTCCTTCTGGGACTCTGACAACATGAATATTAGGACTTTTGTTGTTGTTCCACAGGTTCCTGCAGTTCTAATTATTTTTTAAGTTATTTTCTATTATTCAGTGTGGGTAATTTCAATTTCTATTTCTAAGTGGTAATTTATTTTCCTTCACTGATTCTTTCTTCTGTCCCCTTCATTGAGCTCATCCACTGAGATTTTTATTTCAGTTTTTTTTCAGTGGTACATTTTCATTTGGTTCTTCTTTATACTGTATATTCTTTTTCTTTGCTGAGATATTCTATGTTGTTGATGAAGCCTTCTAGTGTTTCATTTGTTTCAACTATGAACATTCATAAGTACTCATTGAAGCATTTTTATCATGGCTGCTTTAAAATCATTGTCAGATAATTCTAACATGTCTGCCATCTGGGTATTGGCATCTATTTGATTATCTTCTTTAATTCAGTTTGAGATTTTCCTGGCTCTTATATGACGTTATGAGTGTTAGAGCTTAAGCTTTCTGTTTTAGCTGCCTTCCTCTGTTACCACTCTGGGAGAAGAAGCTGGAGGTTCTACTAGGTGAAGGTAGAAGTCTAGGTTCCCAACTCAACCTCTGTTGACACCTAGGAGATGGCTCGTCATTTCTGCTGGGTGGGAGTGGGAGTTCTAGCTCCCTATGTGGTCTCTACTGGTACCACAGTGCGGGTGGCTGTGATGGTGACACACTGAGTGGTGGTGAGATCCTGACTCTCCACTAGGTCTTCTCTGATGTCACCCCAGAGGAGAGGAGGGAGGGGCAGTTCGTTACTGCTTAGTGGGGGTGGAAGCCCAGCCTCCCCACATGGTCTCAACTGATACGATAGTCTGGGCCTTGTTTTGGGGCAGAAGGGATGAAACTTCTGGCTCCCTACTTGGCATTCTCTAACATCTCCCAGCAGGAGTGTTGAGGACCTTGTCACGGCATTACAAGGGTGGAAATGTAGGCCCCCCATTTGTCCTTTCTTGGCATGAGTGTGAATGGAGCAACTATTTTTTCTGTAGTGTTTGGTTGGAATGGAGTGGTTATTGTTTAAAGTTGTCTGTTTTGCTGCACTACTCCTTTCCTGGTCCTTTGGCTAGAGAGAGGAGGCTTGTTTTGGGACTTTGTACCCATTAGTGTTGTGTGGTTGCCAGTTTCTCCAGTATTTAGTCTTAGATATGTAAGGCAAAAAGAAAATCCCAGGGAACTCACCACTGTGTTCTTCCTGGCAGCCCAAGGTCCATGGTAGTTCTGTCCTCTTCTCTCCACTTTGTGGAATCTTCTTATATATGTTTTATATATAATGCCTAGGGTTTTTAGGTTTACTTATCATGAGGAACACAGAAAAGCTAATGTACTCCATTTTCCCATGAGTTGGCATAGTGTTGCAGAGAGTTTTAAAAGTGTGAATTTAAAAAAATCTAGTTTCTTATCTCCACCCATCTTTCTCCCCAACTACCTGTTTTCCCACCCCATCTGGATTTCCAGATTCCTTTGAAAAGTTAGAAGATCTGGCAGTACTGGACTTGAATAGCCAAATGTTCATTCCTCATTAATTCTTCCAACTGAGGTCATTTTAGTGATCATTTATTTTCGGTACTGTGGTGTCACAGGCCCATTTTATCCATTTATGGTAACTGCTTGGCCCTGGAAGGCACTAGGGTTTATCCGATGGAAGACATTGAAAATGTTCGTGCTCTTTAACTTGATAGTCACTTTTAGGAATCTATACTAAGGAACTAATTAGAAATGCCAACAGAAATTTATGTACAAGTATCTTCATTATAGGGTTGTTTGTATAATAACGAAAATGCAGAAAACTTAAATGAAAATCCAGGTATACTGGAATATAATGGTATTATTTGAAAATCACATTTAAAGGAGTATGACCTGGGAAATGTTCATAGTAAATGAAAAAGCAGGATATAAAGTTGTTTATACAGTGTCATCCCAGACATTTTTACAAATCTTTCTTGATTTGTGGAAGAAAATTCACTACAGTACCAGCAGTGTTAATTCTAGGTTTTAATTTTCTTCTATATGTTTTTCTCTGCTTTATGAATTTGGACTGTACTTATAAATTACTGTTATAGATTACTGTTATGATCAGGAAAATAACATTTCTTAAAATATTTAAGAATGCTCTTTAAAATGTTTTCTGCCATTATTAAATGAGATGCTTAAAAATTATACGTGAATCATTTAGGGGTATACTCTGCATATCTAGAGATGTATATTACACATATTTATAAACATAATAGTATAATAAATAAATGGGAATATTCTATTCTTTTTGCTAGGAACCATGTACTTTGATAGCAGAATGTTAGGTGCATGTCATAGGAGTTGAAGTGATGGGTGAAATGATGAAAAGATGGTACCTGGCTGTTGGCTTTCATAGCTGTTACATTTGGACAGTACTCCTAAGGTGCAAATTATTAAGACTGCCTGAAAAGAAGGCAACAGTGCTAGCTGTCCTAAAATCATTAATACAGTGCTATAAATCCAACATGTTTTAAAAGCTTGTGTTTAATTACTCTGTGGAAAGTTCTCTTTTCTTTAAAATGTAGTCATTATCATGAATTATTTTAGGATGCCATGAGGAGACAAGCTCAGATTTTCCACTTGTGTAATAAGGATATTTCAAAGAACGGTAGATAGGTATTTTCTGGCACCAGGGACAGGAACGTGCTGACCTAATTATTTATCTTTTGTTTAGTTTGACCAAGCAGCTGATGCTGAGTTATCCTGGATTACTGAGACAGAGAAAAAATTGATGTCTCTGGGTGACATCAGGCTTGAGCAAGACCAGACTTCTGCTCAGCTTCAAGTTCAAAAGGTGAAGAAATACATTTCCAATTGCCATATAAATTATTTGCTGGTGTGCTCCAAGTCTATAAAATGTGCTTGTATGATTTACTTTTTAGGACCCCTCTAGTGTAACGTGGTATTTTTAACTACTCGCCTAATTGTTTTCATTTTAGTCATACAATTTCTTGTTTTATTTTTTGTCTTTATTTTGGTAAATCACAGACATTCACCATGGAGATTTTGAGACACAAGGATATTATTGATGAACTTGTTAAATCTGGGCATAAAATCATGACCGCATGCAGTGAAGAGGAAAAGCAATCAATGAAGGTATAATCTTGTCTGTGGACTGGTAGTGGGACACTTGAAAAAACAGCAGGTGTTGAGCTTTCAGTCCTAGAAAAACACTTTTCCGTTATCCACAGCTGCCATTTAAGCAGCAAAAATAATTAGTTTAAATAAGGCATTTTTCAAGTTTATAGAATAACGGTAAAAGGAATATTTCTTAAGAGAATCACTACAAGGACAATCTTTTTGAATAGGCACAAAAGCTATTAAGGTTTGAGACCTTGGTTAACTGGCACGCATTAAGCATTCAGTTAATGTTAGCTGTATTGTTGCCATTATCATCAGTATAAATTATTGTTTTTATATGTATCAACTGTTGTTTATATGCTTCAGAGACATTTGGGCCTCTTAATAAAAACCAAAATATGTGGCTCTCTCTAATGCTGAAATTCATTTTATATAAAGTTACAGTAAACTATTAGGGAAAATATGAGCTGAGTAATTAAGGAAGCATTCAGTTTGTGTAGTTTTAATTATCCTTTAAATTGGCAGAAAACCAGCTACAAATAAAAATGTTCAATTCATATTCAAACATCTAAGCAGCCTAAAGAAATTGATGTATATTCATGCTTCTGGTAGGAAAGATATCCCATGGCAAAAAAATATAGGAATCTCTATGCCTAAAATCACATTTTAAAGAGTATGCATTGCTTTTAAGGTAGACCATATACAAAATAATAGAATGCACAGTGTAATGATATGCACTCTTATATTTATTTATACTCTACAATAACAATTTGCTTGTTTATAATTGAATCTTTATTATTTTTGTAAAGACTCTGATGTGAAAAATACAGATTGTCTTGAAATAGTTTCTTTGTTATTCAGTGGTTTTTTGGGTTATGATTGTGCTTTATCTTCTGTTATTAGTATTTGCTATAATTTATCCCATAATCTAGATCACTGTGACTACCCCGTTAAATCAGTGTATAGCACAATGGCACAATGTTCTGTCTTGATTCCTCTCTTTCCATGTCTCTTTCTCTTTCTCTTTCTCTACACACACATATGTATACACACACACTCACGTGTGTGTATATACATACACACATATATGTGTATATGTCAAAAATTAACTTTGTTAACTAAAAATTTTTACAATTTCATTTGCAAAAGGTAGTCTTTATTTTTTTTCTGCAAAATAAATGTTGCCAGAATCATATGAGACTTGTTTTCTAGTCTTGAAGCCATTGTAAGAATGACTGGAGAATTTTGCTTATTGTTTTTGGAAACCTCAGTGTCTTATTCATAAAAACTTGAGGCACTTTAATTTAAAGTGAACTTTTGTACATATAAACCATTAAAATCTGAATAGCTTTTACTGATGTATTCATTTAATATACATTTGTCGAATGCCCACTCTGTCCAGGTGTAGTGTGCTGGACAGAGCACTCTGGAGTGTGTGTGCTTGTTGGCCTGACCAGTAAAATGTTTCATCCTTTTATTTTCTAGAAAAAACTGGACAAAGTACTGAAGAACTATGATACCATCTGCCAGATTAATTCAGAAAGGTATCTGCAGCTGGAACGGGCACAGTCCCTGGTTAACCAATTCTGGGAAACATATGAAGAACTTTGGCCATGGCTGACAGAAACACAATCAATCATCTCTCAGCTTCCCGCCCCAGCCCTTGAATATGAAACTCTAAGGCAGCAGCAGGAAGAACATCGGGTAAGCCTGGTGTGAAAGAGAATATTGTATTCCCCATTAAGAGAATCATGATTTTTATGGTGGTTTTTAGTGCTGTTAAACATTTACATGATTAAGGCATTTTAGAATATTGTGTTCTGGTCTGTGTAATTTGCTTACCTCATAATTGCTTCTTATACAGGGTTATAGTGAGAAGACTCATGTGGATAGACTTATTGTATATGTCATTAATTACATCACAACTTGTATAAAATATGCAGTATAAATCATCTAGATAGAAAAAAATTCCCATTTAAAAATGTTATAGAAATAAGCTTTTGAAGTGCTTTCAATTTACACACATTGAATTGTTTTAAATTTATACATTTAGAATGTAAATGCCGAGTGGAAATATATGGGAGAACGACTATCAGACAAAGCCATTGAGCTTGGAGAAAATGTGTAATATAATGAATGTGTCAAAATAGCAATATTGTGAAAGCTATGAAAAGGAAAAATGCTGAAGTGTAAAGACAGATTATTTTGTTCACCTTATGTACATGGAACTCCTTTGAAGTTCTTGTTCCTGTAACTGTAAATGGGTAAAGTAGGAGGAGCACATTTACAACGACAGTTACGTCACATTTTTAACATGTATGAAATGGCACATGAAGCCCTCTTTTCAGCAGTCACTTAATTGTTAACATGGCTTAAAATTTTGTAAGAGTTTATGTGAGAGCGCATTCAAGACTGTCAGAAAGAAAACTAGATTTCTTGCTATTTATGGACTTGTGAACCTAGTTGCTCTTCCAGATCTGTACAGAATGTACTCTGAGACTAACCGTGGTGTGCATGTATGTGTGTATATGCACGAGTGTGTGTGTGTGTACACTTGTGCCCAAGAGAGAAGGAGGGAGAGAGAAAGGGAGGGAAAAGTTCAATTCAGGGTTTATTACATCATTGTTTGCAATATGTGACATACTTGTTAATCTTGTTTGTTTACCTTTTTAATGAATTGTCATTGAAGACTATACTGGAGTATTTATTTAAAAGAGAGTTTTAGAGACCACACTTTAACTTTCTTTAATATAGAATGGGAATCTTATGGAGTTTTATCTAAATGATTCAGCAGGAGAAAGACAAGTATGTAGAATTCAATTTTTGTATAAAGGTTTATTTGTGGCAGAAATCTGGTGTCTACTCACTGAATTATTTTAAATAAAAAATGTTTCATGGATTTCTATGCTGAGGTGATTTGAATAGCCACGTTTTTAGCATATTATCAAATAGTATGGAAAGGTTCATTATTGAGCTGAAATTTTAAAAATTGAGTTTTTTGCCTTTTTGCATAATCTTTAAGCTCTCAAAACAAATTTGTGATTGTATAAAGGGAGGTAGAAAGCTTTGTAGCCACATTTTGAAATGGTTTAAACTAAAAGCTTTGGTGTTTCAGAATATTTGTAGCCTCCTAGGATGGCATTTCTTCTCCAGCTCTACAGTATCCTCTCCATGTATTTTGGGGGGAAATCTAGTTCATTCTAGCCAGGAATGAAAAATGGCTCCAAGGGCCATGTTACCACATGATAGATATCTGAAAGTCACACCGGATAGCTCCAGCGTGACTGGACTCCTATGACAGCATGTTGCCAAGAATCATTTTGTCACATATAAGGCAAAAGGCATCTCCTTTTGGGCCCTTTTCTGATGCACGCACATACCTGAGTAGATGGCCAGTAGGTGTTCTCTTGCCTGTCATGGAACAGTTTAAGAATGGTTTAAAAGGCCGGCCTGTAATCCCAGCACTTTGGGAAGCCGAGACGGGCGGATCAC